ATAAAGTTGCCATCTTTCTAATGGTATACTTTTTGGATCCAGAAGATGTCATTAAAGTTGTTTTCCGAGACCACAAATTTGCTATCTCAAAACAGGAAAAATGCCAGAATCTGTCCAAGTATAAATCTGTGTCATAAAGCTACTTTGGAGCTCAATTCAAGTAGCATGGGTGGGATTCAAGTCAAAAGGCTTCTACAACATGAAAGTAGGAATGTTTATCTACCAAGGGAAGGAACGGTTTGAAGAATTGGAGTTCTGGAAGCCTCAAACGAATGGCACGAAGTTAGTACGAAAGCTGCCTTTTGACTGTTTTGCTGGCAGCTTACTTGTGCATGAAGAAAAGGAGTTTATGGCCGAATTTTGAGTCCTTTTTTAGAGTATAATTTTACCTTAATGGTTTCCTAGTTCTATTAGGTTTGTATTAGGTTTTTATTGCCTTTAAATACCTTTCTTTTTCGTTGTAAAAATTCAGACTTTGTTGAATACAAATCAAAACCGTTTGGTTTGTGAAAGTTGTGACTTGTTTTTTGGGTTTGGTGGATTGCAAACTTGCCGAGCTTGTGTATTGATTGAATAGTCACTTCAATCGTGGTCGAGCAACTACCCTTTTATACCAATCGAGCTATATCCCCAGGTGTGGATTTGTCCTTTTGGTTCCGTTTTATCCAAGTTCGTATTAAGAACGTTTCGTTCTTGATTGGAGTTCAATCGATTCTTCGATTGAATTGTTAGCTGCGTTACTTTGATTACATACAACCCCCCCAGGGTCTTATTAGGGAAGCAACACCCAAGTGATCTTCCCACAATGAGTTTTCAAAACCAATTACCTTTGCCTTAGTTTATTTCGATTAACAAACTTTTAAACCAAAACTTTGATTGCTAGATAATGAGTCCAACGGTTGAAGTAGGGATAGACGGACCGGCCCGGGTTGATATTTAAACATACTTGTCGTATACTACACCCGGCTAAGGTTTATACTTGGGCCTTAGACGGGAAATCATTGTGGTATTCGGAACGAGTCAATAGTAAACTACCCCCCCCCCCACCAACTGAAGATCGGTATTGCCCTCAATGGCACAAGAAAAGGGGTAGAATGATGTTATCGCTTGGGCTTGGTGAGTGAATGTTGGTTTCGAATCCAGGGTAGGAAATTTGAGCTTTATGGGAAAAAAACACACACACACACACACACAAAAAAAACACAATACGACTCGCTCGAGGCGAGGTTATTATATAACACAACACATAGTAGTAGTAGTTCATAAGCACAAACACACCAAATAAAGAAAAAGAAAAAAAACAAGTTTAGGGTTACAAATGGAGAAGTGGGGCGAAAGTGATTCGGCTCTGCCACATGTCTCACTCGTCGGCTACCTCTCTCGGGTGGAAGGACCCTCATCATCGTTGGAGAGGATCCCTGGTGGCGAGCCATGCCCTTGAGGAGTTCGGACTGTCGCTCGAGTCGGGAAGAGAATCCCACAAAGTTTGTGTCGAGGCGATCCACCATCTCAACGAGGGGATCGCTAGCTGCTGGTGGTGGTGGCTTTGAGGGGCGCTGGAGTGCTGCTTGAATGACCCCTGAAGGTCGGAGTCCCTCCAAGTACTCCACTCCTCTCTCTCCCTAGAGCACCAGCTTCTGGTTATAGAGCGTCTCCACTAAGAAGGGAGTCATCCTCCCATAGTTGGTGCATCCAACCAGGTTCACCTAGAAGTGCCAGGATATCCTCGTGATGAGTCATGTACACTCTATTCCACCCCAGACACCGGGCAAAAGAAGTGGCTATCAGGGATCCCAGGTGGATCGGCTCAGTAGGGCTCTTCATGGAGTAGATGGCCACGAGTCCTCTGTTCGTCATTAGATGACCAAACTGGTTGCTGGGACGACAGAGTGGGTGAGTAGAGTGTGGAGGATCCTACACTGGGTCTTCAGCTTCACGGCGTTGGTCCGACTACCGGTGAACTCGTCAGTCTCGTACTCGGAGCGGCAGAGGGCATGAAAAGCTTGCTGATAGTCGAAGTCGGCGGAGTACTGCTGCTCCATCATCGTCATGTATGTGGGGTCGAGCGCAATAGCCTGGGTGAAAGCGTCATATGTCAGCACCCGAGCTGACCTCCCAGCATAAACTCCACCAGTGGCCGACTCTTCTTGCTAGACGGGACGATGTGGGAGAATGTGGAGTAGAAATCCATGCACTACTCGTAGTAAATCTCCTCGTCCATGGTCAAGAGCTGGTGCCACTGGGGGTGAGAGAGCACCCTATTCATTGCGGCTCGGCACCTGAACAAGTTTAACATGTCCAGGTCCAGCCGCAGTGAGGCCCGATTGGGCTGGCACTCTGGTATGCGAACTTTTCGCCAAATTTTGGATGGTTCACCAGGTATCTGATGTATTCGTGCTGCACATTCGCCATCCTGCATAAACGGACAAACATACACCATACGTGGAAACATTCGTCAGATAATGCTCATTGGGAGGAAAGGGAATTTCCCCCCACACTTATCTTTCCACCATGGATAAAACATTTAAGCTCAAGCTCACCGTTGCATGGTTGTGGTAGTTCACGGTTCAAGCACACAAAAAATTGAACCACAACCCAAACCACGATGGCCACCATCCAGCAAACAATCACAAACTACACTTGCATTCATAACATAGCACTTGGTGGAAAAATTCTAAAAATCGAAGCAATTCGGATCAACAACGCCCACTAAGGCTCAATCAAGCTCATGCAAAAATCATTCCACCATTCAAACGATCTAATTCACCTAATTCCTTGCCCTAAATCTAGGTTCAATCATGCAAAGCACAAAAAATTACCTCACTTCACTACCTAAACCGATTCTCCAAAAATTAATAAGGTAAAGTCGAATAACCAACCTGGAGACACAAGTAAGACGAAGGAGGAAGTGAGGTGTGGGCAAGGAAGGTGAAAAACGGTCGCAAAACAGACCGGGGACGGTCGCCTGAGCTTCGTCGGAAGCTCATCGGAAAACTCCGCCGGTGACTTGGCCGGAAAATTGTGCCCCAAATCTCCCCAAAATTCAGCACATGCCGGTTTTGAGGTGGGGAGACTGGGTATGACGTTGGTTTTGGGTTTTGCTTGCCGGATTTGGGAGAAAATTGAAAAACCATCGGATTTTCCCGGTTTTCCGACGAAGATTCAAAATTTTCCGGCGACATTTGATCGTGAAGTGAAGAGTCTGCGTTCATGCCCCTTTTATAGGCACGACTCATAGTTCACGGACGCGTTGCCCATTTCACGATCTTAGAGACCGTTAAACCTCAAATGTGGTTGTGAACTGCTGTTGGTCGCCACGTGGTGAACATGCCGAAGCGCCCAGATCACGGACTCGTTTGCATGTTCACGGTCTTGTAAGATCATGAACACAACACTCTGTCCGTGAACACAAGTGAAAACAGGGCACTTCTGAAGAAGAATTGACTCAACCTATTCCACCGTGCCTCCTAATCGAACACAACACAACCTTAAACCGCAAAATCACAACTTTGGCACGGGGACACCACTTCACCACTCGAACTCTTCACAAGACACTAAAATGAAAAATAAGAAAAAGAAAACAAACCTCTTTTGGGTTGCCTCCCAAAAAGTGCTAATTTATTGTCATTAGCTTGACGGTTGGGGATCAATAACGAGTCTAAACATGATGCCACCGAGAGCGGATATACCACACTCTCGGGGTGAGGCTTGTAGCCTCCCATTTCCGGCTCCATGAGTTGACCCTCTTGAATGGCCAACCTTGCTTTGGCCTTCTCATTCCTCCGGGCCAAAGCTTCCTTCATCATTTTCCTGCAAGCATTCTTCCTCTTCTCTTTGGGGATAGCACCCTCCTTCACTTCCTGCTTAACATCATCAATGGTAACACAAGTAATGGTGGGGTTTGCCTTGAGAGGCTCTCATCCACTCTCATTCACATCATATGAAACCACCTCCTTCACTTCACTCCTAACCTTAGGGTCAATCTCAAGCTTAATTCTTTCCTTACCATCCCTCAAAATTAAGGTTCCCTCATTCACATATATCAATGCCTTGCCGGTGGCAAGAAAGGGACGACCGAGGATGAGCGTCATATCCGAGTCCTCACTTATGCCGAGAATCACGAAATCGTTCGGATAGCAAAACTTGCCCACTCTCACCGTCATGTCCTCCACAATACCTCTCGAGCTAATGACTGAACGGTCGACTAAGGTGATGCTAAGCTTAGAGGTCTTAAGTTCACCTACTTCTAACTTTTTGAAAAGCTTGTAGGGAATCACATTCACACAAGCTCCTAGGTCCGCCAAGGCATTGTCAATATGATGATTTCAAATACCAAGAGGGATAGTAAAACTAACTGGATCAGACCGCTTCTTGGGCAAGCGGTTGAGGAGGTAAGCCGAGCACTCTTCTCCAAGAGTCACGTTGGCGAGGCCTTCAAGCTTGGGCTTCTTGGTGAGGAACCCTTTTAGGTACTTGGAATATCTTGGCATATGGGCCATGGCTTCGAGGAAAGGGAGTTTGAGGTGGAGGTTGCGAAGCATCTCCATGAAACCTCCACACTCGTCGTCCAACCTCTCCTTGTACATCCTTGTAGGAAAAGAAAGAGGTGGCGTGAACTCCCCCTCCGATGATGCCTTCCTTGCCGCCTTCCTTTCTCTCCTCGAGGGTTTCCTCTCTCCCTTTTTCGGGTTGGCAAATTCCTTGATGGTATCTTCCTTCTCCTTCACTTCTTCAGTGGCGACTTCCGAGACCACCTTCATACTCCTCACTTGGAGTGCACTCACCCTGGCATGGTCCTTGGGGTTGCACCTCCAAACTTTGTAAGCTCGCTTGATGGCTTCGGAGACCCACCACATCAATAAATTGCTCTATCTTCTCAAAGTCTTGGCTACTGGTACTCACAAAGTTGTTCACTAGGTCCTCGAGCTTAGATAGCTTGTCTAGATGTTGTTGTTGTTAAAACCCTAGGCACCTTGTGCTTGGTACGGTTGTTGGAAACTCGGTCCTTGAAGCATTTGTTGAATCAAGGTCGGCTGAAGATGGTAGTTCCCCGTGGGGCCTTGAAAACCCGGGGGCCTCGGATTAGTGGGCGATGACCAAGTAAAATTGGGGTGGTTCCTCCATCCGAGGTTTTAGGTATTGCTATACGGGTTGTTGACTCTAGCATTTACCATGAAGTTGACTTGTTCCTTCGGGATGGTTGCCTCCTTCATTGCTTGACACTCCGCCATCTCATGACTAGTGCTTGAGCACCAGTCGCACGACATAACCGCCCTTTTTCCTTGCCTCTTATCTTCAAGAATAACCTCGAGCAACTTGTCCAACTTTGCCTCAAGTGGGCCACTCGCTCCCACACTTCTCACTCCCCTTTCATTGTTACTTCTTCTTCCACTTATTGTCAACCCCCAATTATATCCCCTTAGGGCCATGTCTTCAAGTATCTCGGTGATTTGAGTTGGAGACATATTCATAAGTTTCCCTTGACACAAGGAGTCAATGACGATATTGTCTTCTTGCATTAGGCCTCCGTAGAAGGTTTCAATCCGAAACTGTTCTTCAAACCCATGGTGAGGGCATTGCAGAAAGTAATCGGAGTACCTTTCCCAAGCATCCCTCAAAGTCTCGTCCTCTTCTTGCTCGAAATGGGTAATCTTCTTCCTCCACTCCGCCATCTTCGAAGGTGGGCAATAACAAGCCATAAACTTGTTGAGGAGATTGTCCCATGAGGTGGACGGTTGTTTAGCCACCTAAGCGCTTTCCCCAAGAGTGATTAGGGGAAAAGCCTTAGTTGCAAAGCTTCGGCAGTCATGCCATTGATCTTCAAGATCCCCGCGAGCTCCAAGAACCTTTGCACGTGCTCTCGAGGTGACTCGCTCTCAAGGCCGTGGAATAGAGCGTTACTTTGTATCATGGTCACCAAAGCCGGCTTAATGTCGAAGTTGTTTGCCGCCACCGGAGGATGTAGGATGAGTGAGTGAATATCCGCTGGCCTTGGGGCCATGTAGTACCCCCATCTTCCTTCGGGCCTCCTCATCCTCCAGCGCCTCGTTTAACTGGCGATTCTGAGCGGTACCATCTTGCTTTTGATTCCCTGCCATTTCCACTACAACAACGGGTTGAACTTCCACTTCTTCGACTACTTCCTCTTCTTCACCTTCTTCTCCACTAACACCGGGACCCAACTATTGTCCCCTTCTTTCAATTCTCTCCTTGTTTCCCTAGCTCTCTCTCCCATGCTAGGAGTTAGAGAGTTCGGTTTATGTCCTTGTCGAGTGGTAGTAAAGGTGTCGAGTTACTCCGGGTCATGCACCACCTACACACAATCGGGAAAACACACAAAGTCTAGCACAAACAAAGAACACACACTTGCAAAAACTGGAAAGTAAAAGCTAGATTAACAACCAATAACATTTTGAAGATAACAGACCGATGTCCCCAGCAACGGTGCCAAAAACTTGACTCAATCCGAATACCACAATGATTTCCCATCTAAGGCCCAAGTATAGGACAAGTATGTTTAAATATCAACCCGAGTCGGTCCGTCTACCCCTACTTCAGTTATCTTAATCATTATCTAGCAATCAAAATTTTGGTTTAAAAGGTTGCCAAGTAAAATAAACTACGGCAAAGGTAATTGGTTTCGAAAACTCTTTGTGGTGTAGTATAGTTCCTGAATAACGCTAAAACACGAGAAACCTAGCGTAAAACCAACCTTTTAGGAGCAATTTTGCCACAAACATCTAAATAAAACGGGGGTAAAACATGTACAATTAGGCCCGAATTAATCTCAAATGACTATTTGGGCATCGACACTCGAACCATCTCAAACAAATCCGATACCACCACTAATCACATTCAATTGCATAAAAAACGGGCAAATGAAAAGTTCTCATTCTATCCACAATCAATGCAAGTCTCAACCGGGCCACTAATCAATCACAACCGACCATGCATAGAACTCAAGTCAAAGGAACAGCCAACGGGGCAACATAGGTCCTCACCGGGATAGATATGAACATGCAAGAACAAGAATGAATCACTCACTCTCGACTAGTGGGGTCAGGACCTTTTGGCGCAAAGGATGTGCACAATCATCATCACTCATCCCTACCATCTCACCACCACGGCGGCAACCTCTAAACGATAGAGTTCATGGGATAGGTGTCATCACTAGCTCGTTCGGAGGTCTTAGACGCGGGTTCAGATGACTGGCAATTGTCTTAGACATGGGGGAAAAGCTTTTTGGGTGGTGGCAAACACAACATGAGGTTCTACATCTTCAACCTAAACCCGAAGGTTCTATGGTTTCGACTAAGAAACTTTTCTACAAACAAAGGCCACTAGCATCTGCCAAAAGCCTTACTTCTCCCTTCCAAACTATCACCCACCATGAACTACATTTAAGCGCTCTTCCTCGGTCTTCTCTTACTATCACCTTTTAATTTGGTAGTAAAGGAGTTCTAAAACAATGTGGGGGTCTCAATTGATTGAGTGCCAAGAAACCCCTCCTAGAGCATACACTTTGGTTTTCGTGGCACTCTCTACTTTATTTACCCCATTTTATTACCTCTTTTTCGATTCCTTTTTCTTTTCTTTTTTTTCTTTATTTTTTTTCTTTTCTTTTTGAGGGGGGTACTAGGGAGTAAAAACTTTTCCACCTATACATTTACCGACCAACACTCTCTTTTTCAAGAACTCACTCTAACACTATAATTCATTTTTTCATTCATAGCAAGAGCCGCACACAATTCTCCTATGTAGAAACTCAATGGAACTCAAAAGTGAGAGCTCTGGGATACACGGATGACTCATGTAATGACACGGAGAAAGGATTGGGGTCTTTCTATCAACACCATAAAGCTCACAAGCAAGAAGCTCCTAACATAAGAACGACCCTGGATGTCACAATGCTCAAAGGGGTTGACTATGGGGTAGAACATTTCAGGACATCAACATTTGGGCGTGGACTAATCCTATGCCTCTATCCTACTAGCTAATGAAAACTGTGATGCTACACACCGTGGTGAGAGGGAACAATCACACCAGAAGAAAACAATCGGCTCAAAACTCACAGGCTACCTAGCCGCCCAATCGTCTATTCCACATTCACAAACTCGATGCATGGCAATTGTAATCAAAGAGTAATCAAGTCGAGACATGCCATTCATTTAAGCACACATTATAACTAAGCCTTTGCACAATCCTAATGCACTCTCAGTCATCTTAATAGGATGCACTCGACTATATGAAACAATTCAAGAACGATGCCAAATAAGCACGAGATTCATCATCCAACCGACTATTTTGAACAAGCAATGCTTGGAGCCCTCAAAATTTTTCAAATTTGGGATACATTAAGGCTCCAAGAATTCAAAATCACGCCAAACATTCACACACACACACACACATGCATAATGGATTACCCCCCACACTTAAGCTCCCTCAAAGGCGTAAAATAAGGGGTAGAACGATGTTACCGGATACCATGTGAATGTTGGTGGTCGAGATCGGAGGTCGGGAGAGATCCGGAAGAGCAAGGAGATGGCAAAATACCAACAAAATCTCTCCATTGGTCGTCTTATTGAAAGGAAAAGATATGCAAACCATTGATGGTTGGGTTGCCTCCCACCAAGCGCTTCTTTAATGTTGTGAATCAAACGGTTGCTCTTCAAGTTTTGGTCCACCCAAGAACCTCCTTGAAGTTGAAGTTCTCGTCGGTGAGGTGATGTCTCAAGTTACGAGCATTGGACGAGTCCATGATCGAGGGCTCGTGAAATTGAGTGGCTTTGAGGCTCCACCCACGAGACCTCTCCTGCTTCCTTTTTCTCCTTGCCCCCTACCATGTAGTACATCATCGATTTACCACCATCGCATCCACAAAGAGGGATCACCGATGTTTTGGCCTTGGCTTGGCAAAGAGCCGCAAATGGGTCCTTCCCCAAAAGTGAATCAAGGTTGGGTGGAAAGCTCTCATAGCCCTCGTAACTTGTGGATGCTTCATCCGTCTCGACCTCGTCCTCATCTTGGACGCCACTTGCTCCTTCTACTTCATCTTCAACCTCCCTTCCTTCTTCTTTAATTTACTCCCTTTGGGAACACTCGAGATCTTCCCCCTCTTTAATGCTTTCTTCCTCCTCTTCAACCACTTCTTTCTCCTTCCCTTTCATTTCTTTAAGCACTATTTGGAGGGCAAGATGCCATGCAAGATCATAGAAAGGATTCTCTTGCTCATCCACACTCGTGTCTTGGTCTTCAAAGTTGATTTTGGGAAGGGGAAAGTGATGGGAGTCATTAATGCATCCTCTTGTTCATCCTAACCACGGGAGCTCTCCGGGTGAGTTCTTCTTGCTCCACACGGTTGTCATTGCTCGCCCTTTCAACCTCTCCGTTCTCCACCAATAATGAGAGGCGATAGCTTGCACAAGACCGTTCCACCTTCTCCTCCAATAATGAGAGGCGATAGCTTGCACAAGCTTGTGCCACCTTCTCTTCTAGTGTCAAACCGGGAGGAGGGAGGGGTTGGAAATCCGCGTTGGAGCTTGTTCTTGTAAAATTCTCCATGGCAAGCTCCAACTTGGACTTCGCTTCGGGTTGTAGGAGATCCAAGTTCGAGCACCCTTAATCGGCGCCTCGAACAATCCACTCCACCATGAGCTCCAATTGGCTCTTCGGCTCCGGTTGTGGAGTGGCACATGGTCTTGAAGATTTTCCCATGAAAGCTTCTGTTGCCAACTCCAACTTGGATTTCTCCTCGACTTGAGGAGGGAAGTTTTCTTCATATGGGGGAGATTCTTGAAATCCCCAATGGTATGCTTGTTCTTCTTGGAAGGGAGGTTGATCATAGAACCCGGTTCCTTGGCTTCCACCTTCTTGGTTACTGACACGCCAAAACACAACACCAAACTGCGACCAAGTGTAATCGCAGTCCGGGAATGCAGTAAAGTGGCAAGTTCTATTATCAACCCGGTGTCTAGATCTACTGATTACTCCGTGATTATCTATTATCTAGCCAACTATGTTAAGTGATTGTTGTTTTAAGCAAAAGCAGAAAGAAAGCAGGAATTGATACGATTTTCTCAAGCAAAGAAGAGTCACTCGGGAATGAGTCCCCCTAGCTCCTTAGTTAGGTTTCAATTGTAATTACCCTGGGTTGATTTACTGTTGATTAGATTGCGGAAGATCCGACAGTATCTTGGAATCTCTTAAGCTGACCAAGCCCTCTCAGTCTAACTATCCGGCAGACGACTAGTCTTCACCGGGATAGAAAGCTGAAGCAATAAGCACAAAACTCCACTACTGGAATCGGATTCCTGTACAAAGCAGTAAACTGGCTAACTCTCGTATAGCCAATCTCCTACTACCGAATGATGAAGCTCTAACAACCTAATCAGATTCTATCTATCTCAGGTTGCAGCAAAAATCAAGAAAAGCTGATCAGACTTCAATCAATTCAATAAACATGCATCATTCGATTAAAACCAAACAGTATAATCATCCCAAGTCATTACAATCATATCCCTAACACATGGAACTAGGGTTCTTCATACCCAAGTGAGAGAAGGGTTCTACTCCATAGAGAAAGAGAGAGGGAAACAGAATACAGAGTAGTCATACTCATAAAGATGAGGAAAATCTGGTCTAGGATGATGATTTCCACTCCTATGACGATCTCCAAGTTCGATTTGATGAAACCCAGCTCCAAGATGGCTTCTAGGATGTGTTCTTCGTACTTTCTCTCTCTAGGGCTCTGTTTTTGCTCTCAAAATCAGATTCTCTCACTTGCAGCCCGAAATTGGGTAAAAACCAAAAATTCCCGACTCACACGGCCGTGTGGCATACCCAGTTGCCCGTGTGAGGTCAAAACGCCGCGTTCCGATTATGTGGGTTTCAGGCTTCCTACATTGCCAGGGGCAAACGGCGTTGTAGCTCACCCATCCTGGCCGTGTGAAGCCTCGCAGAATTCCACACGGCCAAATTGCAACTTCACACGGCCGTGTGGGATTTATTTGTGCCCGTGTGAAGGCTCGCACAATCCCACACGGCCACATTGGTCACTTGCACGGCCGTGTGGGTTTTGTGTGTGCCCGTGTGGCTTCCTCAGCGACTCGCCGCACGTCCGATCTTCGTCCAATCGACCCCGAACTTGCTCCCAAGCTTTCATTCACTTACTAGGACCTGAAATATCACAAACAAGCACAACCTTACGTGAAATCGGCCTAAAACACGAGAATCAACACCTCAAACGGCTCCAAAATAGGGGTAAAAACATGTGCAATTAACGGTTTATCAAACTCCCCCACACTAAACAGTTTGGTTGTCCCCAAGCAAACCAAGTCAGACACAAGGTAAGCTCACATATTTCAATCAACCAACATTGGGGACAAATCATAGAGGCACAGAACACGCGAATTATAATGGCTTTCAAACATCAACAGATGAGGCGGAGCTCTTTCAAGATGTGCTTCCGAGTTCATCTTCCCTCCTCTCATATCTAGTTTCACACTTTTTAAGTCATCTATCTAGGTTAATATAGGGCAAAACGCCATGTTGAATTAAGCAATTTGGTTAAGCGCGATTAAGCCGACCAACCATTGGGTTGAGTGAGGGAGTAAGTCAACCATTGATTGCCTCAAACGAGAGGGCCACTTGAAGAGCCTGTAATGAATCCCTCTGTTAGGCAATTGAGAGTGTGCTCTATGACCATATTTGCTTCCTCTAGCGGTTCGCGGTCACCTTGTCCATAACAATCATTTCGATTTACATACCATGGTAGTAGGTAGGGGGAAGCGAGACCCTAGTGATCCTTCTCTCAAAAAGCTTTCAAAACCATTTACTTTTACCTTGCTTTACTTTAATTAGCTAACTTTTCAACCAAAACCGAGTCGCTAGATAATGATTCAAACGACTGAAGTAGGAGTATACGGACCGGCCCAAGTCTATATTTAAACATACTTGCCCTGTATTGCACCCGACTAAGGTTTATACTTGACCTTAGGCAGGAATTAATTGTGGTATTCAGGACGAGTCAAGTTTTTGGCGCCGTTGCCGGGGATAACAGTATGTTATCTTGAAAAAGTTGTTTGTTGTTAATCTAGCTTTGAATTTCTAGTTTTGAAAGCGTGTGTGCTTTGCTTGTGCTAGACTTGGTGTTGTTTTCTGATTTTGTGTAGGAGGTGCATGACCCGAAGTAACCCGGAACCTTTGATACCACTGGACGAGGACATAAACCGAACTCTCCGGCTCCATCACGGGAGAGAGAGAGCTAACGGAGGCAAGGAGAAGAATTGAAGGAAGGCGACAACAATTGGGTCCCGGTGTTAGTGAAGAAGAACTTGAAGAAGTGGAAGGTGAACCCGTCGTTGGAGTAGAAATGGCGGGGAACCAAAGACAAGATGGAGCTCCCCAAGCTCGTAACCTAACCGATGTGGCTGAGAAAGAGGAAGCCCCGAGGATAATGGGGTACTATATGGCCCCACGACCAGCGAACATTCAATCGCCAATCATACACCCTCCCGTGCGGCAAACAATTTCAAGATCAAGCTGGGTCTAGTGACTATGATACAAAACAATGCTTTGTTCCACGGCCTTGAGAGCGAGTCACCAAGAGAGCATGTGCACAGATTATTGGAGCTCGCGGGGAGCTTGAAAATCAATGGTGTGTTGGTCGAGGCTTTGCAACTAAGGCTTTCCCCTATTCACTTGCGGGAAAAGCACTCCGGTGGCTAAACAATCACCTCATGAGATGATCTCATCAACAAATTCATGACTCGCTACTGCCCGCCTTCGAAGACGACGGAGTGGAGAAAGAAGAATACCCATTTCGAGCAAGAAGAGAACGAGACCTTGAGGGACGCTTAGGAGAGGTACCCCAATTATTTTCTTCAGTGCCCTCACCACGGGTTTGAAGAAAAGTTTCAGATTGAAACCTTCTACGGTGGCCTATTCCAAGAAGACAAATTTCTCATTGAAAAGGGAAATTGATGAATATGGCTCCTCCCCAAGTAACCGAGCTACTTGAAGATATGGCTCTTAGGAGATACGATTGGGGATTGACTAGAAGTGGGAGGAGAAGCAATGATAGGGGAGTGAGAAGCGTGGGAGCGAGCGCTCCGCTTGAGGTGAAGTTGGAGAAGTTGACAGAGGTAATGCTTGAAGATAAACACTCCGGAGGAACAAATCAACTTCGTGGCAAATGCTAGGGCTAACAATCCGTATAGCAATACTTATAATCCCGGATGGAGGAACCACCCCAATTTTTCTTGGTCATCACCGACTAATCCAAGGCCCCCTGGTTTTCAAGGCCCCACGGGAAATTACCAACCTCGGCTGACCCTCATCCAACAAAGGCCTCAATTCCAAAGCTCAAGCTTCCAACAACCATACCAAGCACAGGGTGTCCTAGTGTTTCAAAAACAACAACCCGACAAGCTATCTAAGCTTGAAGACCTAGTGAACACCTTTGTGAGTACAAGTGCCCAAAAGTTAGAGAAGATTGAGCAATTTATTGATGTGGCGACTACCAAGTTTACCTCGATTGAGGTGGGACTCTGAAGTCATCAAGCGAACCTCCAAAGTTTGGAGGTTCAAATCGGCAATCTTGCCAGCATCCTCACCGAGAGACCAAAGGGAGCCCTACCTTCCCAAAAAGTGGCGAACCCCAAGGATCATGCTAGGGTGAATGCAATCAAGTAGTAATTGTAAAGGTGACTCCGGGAGTCGCCACTAAAGAAGTGATTGAGAAGGAAGATACCAACTCGAAGGATGGAGAGAAGAAGCCCTCGAGGAGAGAGAGGAAGGCGACAAGGAAGGCATCGCCGAAACCACCCCCAGTGGTTGAGTACATGCCGCCTCTTCCTTATCCCACGAGGATGTATAGGGAGAGGTTGGAGAACGAGTGTGGAGGTTTCATGGAAATGTTCCGCAACCTCCACCTCAATATCCCTTTCCTTGAAGCCATGCCTCAAATGCCAAGATATGCCAAGTACCTCAAAGGATTCCTCACCAAGAAGCCAAATCTTGAAGGCCTCGCCAACGTGACTCTTGGCGAGGAGTGTTCGGATTTACTCCTCATCCGCCTACCCAAAAAGCGGTCCAACCCAGGTAGCTTTACTATCCCTCTTGGTATTGGTAACCATCACATAGACAATGCCTTGGCAGACGTAGGAGCCAGTGTTAATGTTATGCCCTACAAGCTTTTCAAAAATTTAGAAGTAGGTGAATTGAAGACCACTAAGCTTAGCATCACTTTAGCCGACCGTTCGGTCATTAGCCAGAAGAGGCATTGTGGAGGACATGTTGGTGCGAGTAGGAGAGTTTTGCTATCTGACTGATTTCTTGATTCTCGACATAAGTGAGGACTCGAATATGCCACTCATACTCGGTCATCCCTTCCTCACCACCGCCAAGGCATTGATAGATGTTAATGAGGGGACCTTAATTCTGAGGGATGGTGAGGAGAGAATCAAACTTGAGATTGACCCTAAGGCTAAGAGTGAGGAAGTGAAGGAATTGGTGTCAAATGATGTGAAAGAGAGTGGAGGATGTGAAAGAGAGCTTTTCAAGGCAAACCCCACCATTACTTGTGTTTATTATGGTAATGTAGAGCAGGAAGTCAAGTAGGGTACTATGCCCAAGGAGAAGAGGAAGAATGCTTGGAGGGAAAAGATGAAGGAAGCTTTGGTCCGGAGGAACGAGAAGAACAAAGCAAAGTTGGCCAACCAAGAGGGACAACTCATGGAGTCTAAGATGGGAGGCGACAAGCCTCGCCTCGAGAGTGTGGTGGATCCACTCTCGGTGGCATCACGTTCCAAGCCGTGATCGATCCCCAACCTTCAAGCTAATGACGATAAGTAACGCTTATTGGGAGTCAACCCAACGGAGGTTTGTTTTCTTTTCCTTATTTTCGTTTTTGTGTCTTTTGAAGATTTCAAGTGGTCAAGTGGTGTCACCGTGCCAAGTTTTTTGGTTTTGCGATTTAAGGTTGTGTTGTGATCGATTAGGGGGTTAATTGCACCGGGTGTCACTTAACTCTTATAATTGTTGCACGTTAACCACTTAACGTAATTTCGTTGCAACTACACCATGTAAGTCGTATTATGGGTGCACCATCACCACTTCCTTCATTAGACGTAACGGCAGGTACCGATACTGTAATTTGCCATGCCACGCAAGCATACATGTCAGCATATTTTCTGACTCATTTTGGGGCCTCACCAAAACCCTTGGCCCACCTATTTTGAACAAAATATTTGAGCAAGTTTAACCCGCGACTTCTCGTATTCCTGCACTTTCTTCTCTGCTCTGCAAAATTTTCGACATTGAAGAGGAAAACCATTCCTCTTTAGAGAACCTAAATTAGCAAAGGCGATCGTGAGAAAAAAAGAGAACCAATTCAACAAGGAGATTGTGAGAATAAAGGAGAATAATCGCACCATTGACGGACGGAAAATAGGAACGACAAGAGAAAAGAGACGCAACAGAATAACCGCACCATTCATTCCGGCGACGGTGAATGAAATCCGGATGCTCAAAATTCCGACGGGCTAAGTAACCTTCAACTCTTCCCGAGAGCCGTCTTCAGTGGACCGCGCCTCTTGGTATTTGGCTTTTGTTTCCGATTCAGCGTTGACTCGGGCCCATGCAACTTCGATTTTGTCATTCGTCCTCTGAGATTCTATATTATGTTTACTTTTCGTGATGTTGCTAGGGATTTGAAACGAGCATCTGACGAAGATAGGTTGTTCATGTATCGGAGTACGTGAGTCGGTTATGGATTCTTTAGAAGATGAAATGATGTTGTGTTCTTCATAAGAACTCTGTGTTTATTATTGTTGGGTTCTATAGCCAGCTTGTCCCAAGGTTTTAAAATCCAAATAATTGTTGTACCAGGTTGGTTATATCATTATTGTTCTAATTACAAACATAAGCCCAACCATCAGGGAAGTAGGAGACAATGATCGGATTCCGATATATGGTGAGTTACCTTCCACCAAACTGCTTCAATTTCAATCATCTCCTGCAATTTGCTGCAAGTTTCAGCATATTAGTAGTTCAATACCTGCTGAAATTTTCAACATATTGGTAGTTAAAGCAGGAGGAACAGAGATTGATGTTTCGGGGAAGAAGAGAGAATGAGTA